TGTAATGTTGTGAACAACCAATAAAAAAAATAAAAAATTAAAAAAAAAAGAATTTTATGTGCCAATGTTTATACAACTTAGCATTTTTACATAATGAGTTTTTCTTAAGGAAAAATGTTCTAATCATATCTAAAAATTATTCATTAACTAATGTATCTTTTTCTGAAGCACATAAAAGGCACATTTATTAGGTGCAAATATTTCTTCCTAAGCTGGTTACAGTGATAACTAAGCAGGTAGAAAATGAAAGTCAAAAAAGTTATCTACCACAACAGCACTATAAATCATGTTATTTATTTGGCTACTTATCAGCTACCAGGATTAAAAGTTACTATGGAAAATAACTGTGTTTAATAAAATTTCCTTTTTGGTACCTGAAACTATATGTATGCATCTTTTTAATTGATTTTTATCTTCTAATGTTTTATAAAATGTTCAGAATGTGATGACAAAGACTTCTGACTTTTAAGATTAATATAAGGCAAAGCTTCCCCAAAAGAAAAATGGACAAATTACACAATATTTGATTATTAGAGTGTTTCAGTACTCTTCCAAATATTACATAACTTATTTTAATATAATTAATATTATTTTAATGTAACTAATGACATAATAAACTATTTCTCTTGGATAAATGCCTCTGGAAAAAATTGTTAATCCTAATGTCAAATGCAAAGAGTCTTCAAATCCACTAACTCAGGATACAAAAAGATAAAAAGATAGTTTATGATTTTTTTCTCATCAATATTTTACAAATTTGGCTGTAAAAAAAAAAACTAGTACATGAGCACTTGATTTCTCCATAAACTTTTATACTTATTTCCATATTTATAACAAAGTGCAAATTTTTCAGCAATGCATAAATCTATAGTATTACATCTGTCTACAACCAAAAAACAGTTACAGGAGACTTCAGTCTGCATTATCTGAAAATTTTTTAATATTCTCATACTAAACGCTATGATTTTGCAAAGCAAAATTATTGGAAGTGTTTAATTTACTCTTATGAATTCTGCTGACAAATCTATGCAGACTTTATCTGCATAACACATTCATCCCTGAAATTTTACATAATTATTTTAGTATAACGAATTTAGTTCCAATTCAAACATCATTCAACAACTGAGCAACTGACACACTGTTAAGCTCTATCCTACCACTTTTAAACAATTTCAACTATAACCCACAATAATTTAGATGGTTTATATGATGATTCAATACATTATAAAAGAAATATGTGTCACAAAACAATATTTATTCTTACTAATTGCCATGAACTCTGTCATTTTCTTTTTTATTTAATTTTTAAACACTGTTTATAACCCACTGAGTTGATTTTATGAGCCACTAATGGGTCACAACCTACTATTTCAAACACATAATTACACTCTATAAGCATGTAAGGATATAAAAAGGAAGGGTGGCAATAATAAAGTTTGAACACCTGGATCTGGTCTGAAATCAGATAAACCCTACAATCATTACAGAGTTACATAAGCCTTCAATTTTATTTTAGCTATAAAGATAGTAGAACTCATGCCACTTAATTTCTTCTAAAGTTCTACCAAAAAATCAGAGATACTATATTAGTCATGAAAAAGCAATACTTAAAATACAAAGCTAAAATAAGATAAAAAGGTGGATTCCCACTGAAAATTCTGGAATTGGCTATTTTAAGACATAGAATTTGAACATAATTTTGAAGCATTATTTGGGATTCAACAGGAGCAGAGGAAGAGAAAAGGGACCAGTATTAAAGGCAAAATGTAGACAAGTATAGAGACTGCTCAAGAATAGAGGATATTCCATTGGGGCTGAAATGCAGTATCTGTGGAAGAGTACAATATTTCCAGCCCTGTCATTATTTATTTATTTATTTTGCCAAATGCTGTATTTAAAACACTATTAACCATTTCCTCCACTTTTTTTTAAAACTTTGTGGTACTGGGGATGGAACTCTACGCCTCACACATACTAGGTATGTGCTCTACCAAGGAATTACACCCCCAACCCTACTGTCCTGTCTTCAGTTTCCATGGCACAGTATCTTGATCTTCTTTCTTACTCTGACCATTTCCATTAGTTTTCTTCTTGGATTCCCCATCTCTGTCTTGTAAGCACATTTGTTTTTATGTTTTGTAAGCAATACTCAGTTTGATCCTTGTATTTAATGTTATATACAACTAGAGTTAATACTCTTGTTTGAGCCTTGTATTTAATGTTATAAAAAGCAAGAGTTGGCCAACATTTTTATAAAAGGCCAGACAGTAAAATACTACTGGTTTGGCAAGCTAAGAGGCAAAAATCAAGTATATTATGTAGGCACTTTATACAATAAGGGAGAAAACAAAATTTCCCTTGTTTTAAATTCAACCACTGACTTGCTCACAATATGCTCAATTCTTCAAGAGATTATTCTCAACAAGTGGCTCAGGGTCTTGAGTTTATTTTCCCTGAACACATTTCTTTGGCTGTTGCAATCAACCAGGAATTAGATAATTCAACACTGATAAAAATGGCTTTCTTTACTTGGCTAACAAAAGAACTACTCAGAAACTTACTATGGTTATAGATTCATTTTCGTTTTTTATTTTTGTGAAGAAATTATGCTATGATAGATATTCTGTCTTAAATTTTGTACATTTTCTGATGACTACTTTCCTATGAATTGGGAAGGTGGTGATGAGTGTTTACTCCAACAATGAAGATATTTATTAAATTCTATTAGTATAGTCATAGCATTGCATGGTTGCATAATTAATATAATGCTTTGCCATTTAATTCATTAAAATATTAATTCACGCTCCCTGTGCCTCAAAGGAATACATGGAGACCACTCTTCTTTCCTTATCTTGACATGACAGGTGTGCACTATTAGTAAATAATAAAATATGATACAGCATATGTATAGCACTCAAAATGTTATCAAATATTACTTTACCTGTGTCACTGAAATCTGTAGACAATATATAGATCAATTATCACCTGTATTCAAGCTCTCATTATCTCTCATATGAATATTATAAAACTCTCCTAATCTCCTTGTCTCTAGTTTTGCCCCTGAAATTCATAAGTTGCCAGAATGTTCCATGTAAAATGTAAAACTGATTATCCTACTCTCCTTGAAATTAGAATAAAATCTATCCTCAGGCATGACCTATACATTGGAAGCCTCTCCCCTCTAGCTGTACACCTTTCCCCAAGAATATATTCCTCTCTCACCCCTAGCTACTCTATTCTAATCACACTAGCCTTCCTCTCATGCCTCAGACAATCCTTGTCCTTTCCTGCCATAAACCTTTCTACAGTAATAAAACAGCAGTTTTCAAACTTTGCTATGAGTGTTCTCTAAATAACAATAAATGAAGGAGGAAGGCAGGAGATCAGTAAGGGCAGTTCCACTACTATAGGCTTTACTGTCTTAGCTTTCAGGTATAATGTCATTTTTTTTAAAAAAAAACCACACACACTAGAGTTCCATGACAAAATACAAGCATGTGTATGCACACACACATACTGAAAAACATGGTAGCAATAGTCTAATTTGGCTGGGTGCAGTGGCACATGCTTGCAATCCCAGCAGCTTGGGAGGCTGAGGAAGGAAGATCGTGAGTTCAAAGCCAGCCTCAGCAACAGTAAGGTGCTAATAAGCAACTCAGTGAGACTCTGTCTCTAAATAAAATACAAAATAGGGTTGGGGATGTGGCTCAGTGGGTGAGTGCCCCTGAGTTCAATCCACAGTATGCCCTATCCCAAAAAAAGTCTAATTTGCTTAGCAAAACGTATCAGGTACCTACATGTTGTAACTTCCTCATCCTCCCACCTCTAATTCCATCTTTCCATCAATTCAGATGTGATAAGCTACTTCCCAATCTCAGAGAGGGCTTTTGTTCACCAAGCCTCTCTACCTCTTTTACTTCTTCTTGGTTTAACTAATTCATATGTGTCTGAGAATAATCTTCACAGACTCATCATACCTTTGAATAAATGCAATATTTTCATCAATTGAAGTAATCTGAAAATATTATTACTTGATTTTAGATTTATCATGTGGTTCTCCTAATGTGAATATAAGAACAGTAAGAAAAAAGATCCTCTGTCTTACTCACTAACACATCTCCAGAATCTAGGGAATAGTGCCCAATATATAGCATACATACAATAAATATTCATCAAATGAGTAAAAAAATATCCTTTTAATTTTTATATCCCAGTTTCACTGATTGGAACATAACAGGATCTCAACACATGCATGCTAAAAAATAAACCTGGAAATAAAAACTGAGGTCAGAAATGAAAAGCTCTGAATAGCAAGCCAAGAAGTTAAATACTTAATTGTAGTAGATTTAATCTTATTGTTTCTCTCTTCTTTTTATTTATTCTCAATTGTAAAGCCTCTAATAGTTTGATTGTCCTCCAAATTCCCAACTTTTGTAAAGCACTTCAAGTCAATAAAAATGTACCTCTACTTAGTGGAGCACATGGCCACTTGAAAAATATGTAAAATTTTAAGGACCAGGGTTGTGGCTCAGGAATAGAGCACTTGCCTAGCATGTATGAGGCCTGGGTTTGATCCTCAGCACCACATATCAATAAACAAATACAGTGTACAGTGAAAAATCCACTGGCAACTAAAAAAATTTAAAAAAAAAAGAAATAAGAAAAATATGTAGAATTTAAAAAGCAACAGAACACTATAAATAAAATAGTGGGAAAATCATGAAAGAAAAATCCTGAACACTTTTATAGAATTTAACTGACAGAAATTTTAAAAATTTGTATAAAGTTTTTACTTCCTTACTTAAAAGTATAAATAATTTCAATAGACAGGTATCATATCACTGATAGAAAAAATTTTCATTCCAAGTGTTCAACTTATACCTGAAATGCAGTAATTTTTCTATTTAAAAATCTACATTTAAATAATACTCAACAGAAATTAATGTAAATTCTGTCAACAAAAAATTAATAAGGATCAAAAACACGCAAAAAATTCTTACTAAGTTATTGTCATCCTGGAAAGCATAGTGCAAAGTTGTAATCCATTTATTGTCTCCATTCACTAACACATCCCGTTCTTCACGAAAACATGCTGTCTGGAAAGGAAAGAAAAAAATTTTAGACAACACTTTAGGTAAAACTAGGATACAAATTATGCAAACAACAGCTTAATATGCTTATTATACTATTTCTATTCTGGAAAGGAATATTTTCAATATATGGCTTTCAACAAATCACTATTTCAAAACAGCAACTGAGCTACTAGAATACTTAAGAAAATATTTTATATCAAAAATATTATCATAGTTTAAAACAATCATAAAATGAACGGAATAATTAAGAACCACAGGTCACAATACTATTTAGATAATATAAATGCATTTATTTTGCCACATTTACTTCTGGTCTTTTCAAAGAAATAAGACAAAGTTATAGTCTTCCTACTTCTTCCCATTCCTCTCCTTTCTTCCCTCACTTAAGCAATAAAATGAAGACAATGTACAGACTACCAATCATGTTTTGACCACACATATATATATATGTCCATAAACAACAAAACTGGATTATTTTTAAAAATTATGTTATAATTTTATCTATCCTTTTGCAAGTTGATTACTTCTTTCTCCAGAATTACTGTTTCCCTTTTTATCTGCTATGAAATTTATTTAGGCAACCCCCAATTATGGAAATATATATCATTTCCAAATTTGCATTATAACAAGGCTGTAATGAGTATATTTGTATAAGTTTCTCTACAGTATACACTCAGAAGTAAAAACATTAGATAAAGCAAATTTCAACTTTGCCAAAAATAGCAATTTTCTATATTAATTACCACTGTACCCCAGCATACAAAAGTCCCTTTTCCTCACATCCTCAAATGTACTTGCCATTATTAAAATTAAGTGGTTGCCTATGATGGCTGTCAAATTATGTCTCATTGTTCTTTTAACTAACATATTCCTAATTATAGGTGCTGATGAATAACTTTATATATATACATATACACATATACACACACTTACTTGCTACCTTAACTTTCTCTTTGAATGTTTACTTTGAATGTCCTTTTTGCACATTTTCTCTAATGAATTGGGTTTTTTCATATTTATTTGTTGAAGTTTTAATTTATTCTGAGAATAAATTTCCACTACTATCAAAATATATCCTAGAGAATCTGAGAAATATATGATTAAAAATAAAAAACAATTTATGTAATACATTATAATTCTATTATACAAAATCTTTAATTTTTTAATTAAAAAGAAAACAAAAAATACTATAACAGAAACTTAAAAAAGAAATGAGAGGTAAAATAGAAAGTAAAAGTCTCCTAAGTAATGCCCCCACAATTTTAATTTCCAATTGTGTTCACAAGTCACTACCATTAAGCATACTCAGAAAATTCTTGCATATACAGAAGCCTACACACGTGCACATGCATGCACACATGCATACAGACACATTTTATATTCATGTAGTATCCCACCTCTCCCATCTTATTTTTCTTTATAGAAATGAAATCACATTGCTCTCTAAGTTGCTTATTTTTCCTAAATAATAATATATTTGAACATCTTTTGATCTTAGTACATATAACCCAGCCTAAGTTTTCTGAATGGCTGTACCATATTGCATACACACTGCAAATATCATCACAGAGCATGTCTACTTGTAGTAGGTGCCAAGTTATTATTTCTCACAAGATAAATAGTCATGACACAGAAAACAATCTATAACACTGTGATCCAATTAGCCCAAATATTGCCAATGTATACCCATAAATTTTATTTGGACAAATAGCATTTCCAAAGCCAGGCATTAAATGGCAACAACAGAGAACACCCAAACAAATAAAGTTTAAACCAACTGAAATGGGCAATTTAACCTGTTAATTATGTTATCAAAATCTATAACAGTATGTATTAATTCACGTTAGGAAGAAAACAGAATTGCATGACCTATTTACCAGTAAGTCCTATTTTATAACTGAACTGATCTGAAGTTATGGCTTACTACTGGCATGGTAGAAAGGTTTTGAAAGTTGTTAGGGCCTAAGAGAAAGACTTCTCCTGGTATGAACTCACAATGACAGACATCAAAAAATTTTAGGGGGCTAGGGCTGTGGCTCAGTAGTAGGGCGCTTGCCTTGCAGACCTGAGCCACTGGGTTCGATTCTCAGCACCACATAAACAGAAAAATACATAGATAAAATAAAGATATTATATCCATCTACAAAGAAAAAACTAATTTTTTTAATTTTTTAGGCATTCCAGCTAGATTCTAATAACCATTATTTCATTTGATTGATTTCAAACTAAATAAAACTTCAAATATGCTAAACTGTTCAGTAAAAAGCAATATTTAAAAATTAAAAAACATACAATAAACCATGACACTAAATTTCAAACATAACAAGAGTAGAAAGACGAATGCAACAATCCCTTCTTCCCAATGTACCATGGTTCAATTTCGGCAATTACTTTGTTGGTGAATCTTGTTTCATTATACACTCACTCACTCACCACCACCCCTCAGTTCCCTGAGTACACACGTTCAGAAACAATGAACTTTTTAAAGAAAATCCAAGACATATGATTTTATCCACAAATATTTAGCTATAAAACTATTCTTACTAACGCTTCAAACGCTTCAGGTGTTGAGTGTCTAAGTGTAAAAAAGACAGCCTACTTCTTTTGCTTCTATATCACATTCTCCTAGTTAGTTATGACAATTGGGTGAGAGGATTCTACTTGCATCTAGTGGATAGAGGCCAAGGATGCTGTTAAATGACCTAAAATGTATAAGTGAGCTTCTTCATCAAAGTCTTATCCAGCCCCAAATGTCAAAAAAGTATCCCTGTTGAGAAATTCTGTTCTAGATCAGTACTAACCAAACCATGATGTATGAATAATCTATGGTTCATAAATGTGTTGTGAGGATTCAAATAGTTTAAAACTATAATAATGTATACTTCAATTATATTTTTGTAAAAACTAAACAAAATATTTTTAAATTTCGCTCCTGTAAAAACAGGATATTTGGGTCTCATCAAATTATCAATCTTGGATATTTGGGTCTCATCAAATTATCAATCTTATACAGCACATCAAAACTGCATGTATATTTGAAAATCACGTCAAAAAGAGATGTCTATACCCACTAATTTCTCATTTTTTTAGCAATAAAGACTTCTTCACTCTAAAAATATTACCACAGAAAAATCCTGGATAATAACTGAAAATTTCTCTAATATTTGATGAAGGAAAAGTCAAAATTTTCATTTTCAAAAAATAAGTAAGTAGAATTTTAAATTAAAAATTTCAGAAAATCCAAATATTAGATCTTATACAGCATGGCATCATCACATATCTGCCCCCCCCCTCATTTTACCATATGTTTGATGATCAAGCCAAATAGAATATTTTTTCATTTTAACTTAATTGTCAGTAAAAATGTTGTTTAACATAATAAAGAGAGAATATGATAGCATGAATAATTAGCAAGCTTGTTAAGAAATCGGCACATTTAAATAAATAAAGATATTCTGGTCCAACATTTATAGAAGACAATTTGTTTAAAGCAATAGCTATTAAAGTTTAAATGGGCTGGAGTTGTAACTCAGTGGTACAGTGCTTGACTAGCATGTGTGAGACGCTGGGTTCGATTCTCAGCACTAAATAAAGTCCATCCACAACTTAAAAAAAAAAAAGGTTTAAATGTATCCCCTAACCCCATGCCGAAGAGTTGTAGTGGCAAGGAGTTTAATTTGAGAAGTAGATAAGTTCTAGAAGTCACACAAAATGAAAAATCCCTTCATGTAAAATTTATCCTAAAATCATTTCAATCTTGGTATATGCAAATATGGAGTAGCAATATTTCTTATTAAGAAGATTTCATACTCTCCCTCCCTTTTCTTTTTCTTAAAATTTACATTGCATATATATCTTGGGTAGCATGACTACTTCTCATGTACTGTTTTCTTCTGTTGTGACATTTCTCTTTAACACACACAAGCATAGTTAGTGAAAAAATGTATTAATAACTTTACTGTTATTAAGAATTCACACTATGGATAAGCTCACAAAATTACTGTGTAAAGATTTTTACTACAACATGATTCAAAACAGTAAAAATGAGAAAACACCCTATATTAAGATTCTTACCTCAGCTCTTTTCAGCATTTCCCATTTATTCAAAATTTTCATGGCAAATACCTTATCTGCATTTTTTAGTTTTACTACAGCGACCTAGAAAAAATAAAGGAAATATAACTTTTAAAATATGACATATATAGTACTTCTTTCCAGTCATCCATTTTCCTTTTTCCTCTCTGTAAAAAAAAATAAATGCCAATTATCAATTATTTTAATGCAGCTCAAATCTAAAATCCTAAATTAAACAATGTCAGGTAAAAAAAAAAAAA